GGGGTTTCTGGAAGTTGCAGTTCAAAAACATCCGAGTAAATGAGTAGCTCAGTGGGCAAGAGGGGAGGGTGCAGAGGGTGTCAGAAAGAGAGCAGTATAGGAGAGAGAAAAGAGGATGATCCCATACAGTACTAAGTTCTGCCCCATTTTGGCTGGCATTCAGTTCCAAATAGATTGCCCTTTGGAGAAATGCAGCCCCTCATAGGGAAAAACCAAACCAAACCATGTATGATCTCTGAAACATGATTCAATGAAATCCCCTGCTCTTGCTGGCATGTTTTTTTCTCTCTCATTGTGGCAGCCCATGGCCTTCGCCAGCTAAAGGAAAAGAACATGAAGATTTCTGTCCACTTGATTCATACTTGGGTAGCTGCCTGGGTCTGTGTTGTTCGGGCTGTAATTCTTGGTAAGATGGTGGAGACAAGAAAATGAGTACTTATATAGTTGTTGTACATTTTTCGGGCTGTTTGGCTGTGTTCTGGAACAAGTCCAAACAGCCCGAAAAGCCTACAACAACCATTGGATCCCGGCCGTGAAAGCCTTCGAGAGGTATTGATATACTTGAAAAAAACTAAACCTGCAATTTCATGATTTGTCAAAGACAGTATTTTCATCTGCGGAGAGCAGCATTCCACATGGGTACCAGGTCTCCTGGAATCATTTTTTTTTTTAAAAAACTGGATCAAAGACCTTGAAATGTTTCACACTTTTGTGTCCATCTATTGACAATTGTAGGTTTAAAGAACCGGTCCTGTAAATGAGGCATCACAGAGCCAAGCCAGCTGTGTTAACTAAGATCTTTTGTGCCATCTCAAAAATTATAAAACTTTATAACATTAAAAAAAGGTTTTTGTAGTGCAAACCCTGAGTTTTGAAGCAGCACTACAATGGTCTGATAAACTGAATCCTTAATACCCTTGAAATCCAACATTTTCCTTTTAATTCATATCCCATAAAGTTTTGTAGTCGTTGTCTAGTCGTTTAGTCATGTCTGACTCTTCGTGACCCCATGGACCAGAGCGCACCAGGCCCTCCTGTCTTCCACTGCCTCCCGTAGTTGTGTCAAATTCATCTTGGTTGCTTCGATGCCACTGTCCAGCCATCTCATCCTGTCGTCCCCTTCTCCTCTTGCCGTCACACTTTCCCAACATCAAGGTCTTTTCCAAGGAGTCTTCTCTTCTCATCAGATGGCCAAAGTACTGGAGCCTCAGCTTCAGGATCTGTCCTTCCAGGTGAGCACTCTGGTTTGCTTTCCTTTAGAATGGATAGGTTTGTTCTCCTTGCAGTCCAGGGGACTCTCAAGAGCCTCCTCCAGCACCACAATTCAAAAGCATCAATACTTCGGCAGTCAGCTTTCTTTATGGTCCAGCTCTCACTTCCATACATCACTACAGAAAAAACCATAGCTTTGACTATTCAGATTTTTGTTGGCAAGGTGATGTCTCTGCTTTTTAAGATGCTGTCAAGGTTCGTCATCGCTTTCCTCCCAAGAAGCAGGCGTCTTCTAATTTCGTGGCTGCTGTCGCCATCAGCAGTGATCATAGAGCCCAAGAAAGTAAAATCTGTCGCTGCCTCCATATCTTCCCCTTCTATTTGCCAGGAGGTGATGGGACCAGTGGCCATGATCTTAGTTTTTTTGATGTTGAGTTTCAGACCATTTTTGCGCTCTCCTCTTTCACACTCATTGCAAGGTTCTTTAATTCCTCCTCACTTTCTGCCACCAGAGTGGTATCATCTGCATATCGGAGGTTGTTGCGATTTCTTCCGGCAATCTTAATTCCGGTTTGGGATTCCTCCAGTCCAGCCTTCCGCATGATGTATTCTACATATAAGTTAAATAAGCAGGGAGACAATATACAGCCTTGTCGTACTCAAGTTTTGTAGTAGCTTTGTACTATTTTGTTGGCACAAACCCCAAAGTTTGTAGTACCACTCAAAACTGGTAACTGACACACCTATTGATTGATCAGTTAGTTACACAGTTGAAGGTGGCAGAGATGTAAATCTTTGTCTTGACCTTATATAGGAAGAGGAAACTTTCCCTCATGAACAAGGATTTTCCGTGGGCTCTCAAGAGTTCCTACATTGGCAAGAACCATGTTTTGTGCAAAACTGCCCATTCCATGTTTAAATTCATAATCACTGCAAATGTAAAAACTAGAGGGTTTGTTTGCAACTGTGTGATTCTCCTATGATTGCTCCGGGTATGTGAAACAGACAGGCCTGCAGACATTGTGTGCACATCATAAAGACCTGGGGTGGGGATTCCTTGCCTCTATTCTCAGTTGGAGGCAAAGAAAAAAAATTTCTGGGTGTAACAACTAAACTGTCGGGAATGAGAAATTCAACAAGTATTCTTTCTATCCCTCATGGCTTGTGCTAAAGAGACCAAAATTTTAGCCTATTTGTTGAGAGACACCAGATTTTGGGGCTGGTATTTAACAGAGCTAGTTAACGTACCTTCAGGGTTGCTCTGCTTGGGTTTTGCAGCCTTGAGTTGACAGAGTGCCTCTCTGCATTCATTGAGCCTCCAAGATAGCGAAGTCTCACAAATCTGTGTTTGGTGACTGCACTTCTGGAGCCATGGCAGCCACCCAGCCTGGGTAGATATCAGAAACAGAAGCTGCCTCGTTGTTTTCATGAGTTAACTGTGAGCTGTGACCCAGCAGGCAGCAGAGATGTTGCAGTAGACAACCTCATGAAACCAGCAACAGAAATTATTTCTGCTTGGTTACAATGTAAAGGAGATGCCATTTTCCTTCAAGGCCAGAGGGAGCTGGAGGGCCAGGAACCAGGCACAGATTTGCAGTCCAGCCTAGAGCCACTTAAAGATCATCACTGTTCTGTTGTCTGTCCTTGGTATAATTTCAGCATGTTTCCATTCCTTTGTGTTCGCAAACGGTTTGAAAAAGAAGAGGAAAATACCTGGGGAAAATTAGAAAGCCACATGATAACCTCGTGGGATTTGTAAGGAATAGGAAGGGTATGACCGTTCAGTGTTCTAGATAGCAGAAGCAGTATTAGACACACTTCTTTACAAAAGGCAGAGTGCTGCATTTCCTATAGTCTACTTCCTAATATTTTCCTTTTTAACAATACTGTTTTCTTTCTCTTACCACTGTCTAAAGACCACTTTCTGAAACAGAAATAGATGGGACACGGGTGGCATTGGTTTGCCCCTTCTTTCTGAATAGATCTGATAATATCCCATGACAAATTTAGCAGGGTTAGATCACTTGATTTGGTATTGCAGAAAAAAAAATACCCCTTGCAGGTTCAGCTGCTCAGTAATACAACTTCTATGTTTTTCTAGCACCCGTTATTCTGATATGTGCCTAGTTGTATACATGCATATGTGCTTGTATGTGTTTTGAGTACGGAGGAAAATTATGGAAGAAGAGGGCTAAAAGACCTTAAAAGGATTGTCAAATAGTTAATCCCCTGCCTGAGAACAAAATAGTGCTCAGTGTAAAGCGTCCCTAACAGATCAGGTGACCCACCTTTCCCATAAACAGCCTTGTACAAAAAAAAAATCTAATTAATAGTAAGGAATGCAACTTATGCACACACAAAGCAAATATATTGTGGTAAATATTGCTTTGCCTAAATCTGACAGATGATCTTTACTTATGCAGCATCTGTGCCAGGACTTCTTTTGTGGAAAGTCCATTGTATAGTATCTCTTTTAATTCTTTGGATCCAAGTACTTTTTCTGAAGGCTGTATCTTGTACGTGACTTGAAGACAATATTAATATCTCATGTCAGTATCTTAAAACATGATCACAAAAGTTCTTTTACTTAAGAAGGCATTAAAAGGGACATATTTGGTAAGATGGCTTACAGGAGCATTATTCATTTGACTCTCTGGGCATATGTACTTGTACACAGCTTAATACTTTTAGGCAGGCCTTTTGGGAATATGATATCTGGTAGTCAGAACAAAAGGTGAAACTAATTATCAAAGACATGGAGTAGCCAGGTAGTCTGTGGGAATGCAGCCCTACATCCCTTCTGGGTTTTTTTTGGTGTGTGTGTGTGAGCGGATTCTATTTTAAAACACCCTTTTGACAGGGCTGCAGCCTGCATAGAGGCAAGTTCAAAAGCGAAGCTTGGACCTGCCAAAATTCTCGACTGCAAGGGTAAACAAAACATAATGCAAAGAAGCCACAACTCAGCAACAGAACAATTTTACATAAAGAAGGGCCCAGATTCAATTGCTGCCCCATCCTGTTATTATTCAGATCAGAAGTAAAAGATCTTCTATATAGGCTGTTATATTACAGTCTTAAATAACAGAATTAAGGGTCTCTTGAAGTTCTAGGGAAATATTTTAATTGAAAGTAGGCAACACTGGGTGAGACAGTCCTACAATCAGACTCAGTAAAAAGCCATCATTTATGATACCATTTGGTCTCTGCAAAGTCCTGCTGGTATTGTCATGAGCACAACTCACGGAGAGAGAGAAAATACTCTGAAATATAGCATTTTTAAACCAGCTGTTTTTTAAAGGAGGGGGAGAAGAAGTATATTGCAGACTTAATAGTAAAAATGGGAAGGCTTTAACAAAAAGCAGAAATGTTTTAAGATTTCCCCTTCTTGCTCACTCACACAGAAAAGGGACAGGAAACAAGAACTGGACTATAATGTGTTTATCTTAATAATTACAAGATGCAAAATATATTTATTCTTTTTATACTTTCTCACACTCCAAACCTAATCAGACATACAAACTTCAAAAGGGTGGCAGTGATATAGGGAGGGAGGGTGAGCCTCTGCCAAGCGTCGGCATGCGCTCCTTTAAAAAGAAGTGTAAAAGCAAAGCATATGGGCTGGGGTTTTCTCCTTCTCTAAAAATCCAAATAGGAACTGGCAAAAATGAATAGCCATTCCACGCTAAGTCCCAATTCAGTTTTAAAGGGAAGAGTCAATTGCCCTAGAATCTTTGAACAGCTCTACCAATTTATGTTATCAGAAAAATGAATTCACACAGAGTACAGAATTTTCATTTCATATTATTTTATTTTTTAAAAAAAGTCACATACAACAGCTGCTTTTATGCTGAAAAAGAGCTTTGTTGTGGAAAAGTCTGAGGGTTCTGTATCCAAATCTGTTGAGAGTCTGAGTTCAACTAACACAGACAGGATCGCTAGAGTAGAATCTGACCACAATCCCAAAATACTGTCCTTTAAGCACAGAACCACTCTGGCAGAATAGCTGCCTTGTCCTTGGGACAGCAGTATCAAAAGACACACAACAGCATCTCCTATGTAGGTTGTTGGCAACACAAGGATAGGGGAGTTTTGCCAGGGAAAGTTCTCTTGTGCAGGAGGAGGGATGAAAACAACCCAGCATCATCACATGGGGTAGTTCAGCACCACATCCTGTTTTGCCAACTCCAGCAACATAGGGTCATCGAAGAACTTGCTGATGCTCACGTCCTCACTTAGTCCCTGAAGGAAAAATAATGGGATGGTGGTATTAGATGGGAGGGAAGGAAAAAGAGGATGCATGTTCCATTGCAGTGAAAAAAAACTTAAGACATCAGCAGAGACAACCTCAGTTCCAGGCTCAGCCTTACCTTCCTGCGCCGGGTCTTGATCATAAACTCTCTGGCCAGATGGGGGGCTGGCTGGGGCTCAAGAGGTCGGATCACAATACTTTTGTCCAAGGGGTCACCTGGCACAATCTGGAATGTCAGGAATATACTGTCAGAGAACCTTTGCTGACCAACACACATTGATACAATACATCCAAAAAATATCCATGTGGAGATACTGCTGCATGAATGTAGACATTCTGGAGGTTTCCCCAAAAAAAGCTCCATGTTCATTTGCATAGATTTTGAGAGGACTATTAGGTCTTACAAGACGTCATGGCTTTATCACAGCTTCCAACACAAGCCATCTCAAAACATCACAATTTATGTGAAGTCCGTATCCAAGTCTGCACTAGTTGGGTAACTCAATGCTTGCATGCTTCATAAGAATGGGAAATGATGAAGGCAGCAACAGGAAGGGTCTGTGCATAGAACAGCTCTGTAAAAGTTTATTACCCATTTTAACAGAAAGGATCTCACATATCCCTAGAGCTACTAAGAAGTCATGAGAAAAGGAGTGGGGTAGACTAAGCAGGAGTTCTATTAGCGGAGGGTCAAGGAACTAAGAGTAAGGAACCCCCCCCAATGGATCTTTGTTACCCTCCTATGGCTAATGAAAAGGGGGATCAGAAAAAAATGTATGCAAGACTAGCAACTCTTTTGCCATTTATCTGGCTTGCACAACTCAGAAAACCAATGTTGGCTTTTCCTGGGGCAGAAAGTGAGTTCTATGTAGCTGTGATTTGTGACATAGTGAGTATGCGACTTTAATTCCAAGCTGCGCCAGCCATGCAAATCAGTGGAATTTCCCGTTATTGTGACAAGAAGAGTTTGCCTTGGAATGATCAAACATGGCAGGCTGGGAATCTGATGACAAGCCTGAGAAATCTAAAGCGCTGGTGTCTTCCGCTACTCCTTGCCAACAAGCCCTCTGGTGCAACTTACTTGCCAGTGGTGAAAGACGGAGAGTGAAAATGCTTGCCCCTGGGTATGTGTCCTGAGGTCTGTCTCAAATCCAAATGAGTCAATAGCTGGGATGAAGGCTTTGATTGTATAGAGAGGAGAGCCTGGGATGGGTGCATCTTGGGTCACATGGCCCCTGCAAAAGGACAACAAAAGGCTTACATTTCTTCCATGTTTAGTTGCCAAAATGCTAATAACCCAACGCTAATCAAGGAGATAATCTCTGTTAGAAACCATCTTATTTGTCCTTTCAATCTGGTAAAACCAAGCTGTTACAAAGGGTACAAAAACAGCAGCCCCACCTATTTTCTCCCTGGAAATGTGCAGCACTGTACCAGGTGCCCTCGATGGAGAAAAAATTAACACCAACATGCATAGTACTAAGGGACATGGAAATAAAGGATGCCATTATACTGGTTCTTGCCATCTTTAGTGTAAGAAATGGCGGCACAACTTGGACACTGGCCAAAAGACTTTCTTAAAATAAATTTACACTCATGGCCAGCATCAAATCCTAGTTAGTGAAATGGATGGGCCAAAGATAAGACAGATAGTAAATGAAAAGACTATCTCTGTTAACCATAGGACCTATGCAGTCCTTTTTCAATTAAAATAGAAGTACAAAAGGAAAATGGTAAAGGAGGTCGCATTTTTCATGCAATATAATAAACAAGGTAGTTCTTCATTCAGTGGGATTGTTTCTTATTTCAACAACATAGCAATGGAAGGGCTAATAAACATGGATATTGCTTACCTTCGCCTGGCCAGGACTGTGTATACTGCAGAGACACAATCCGCAGGGGCCTGGACTTCCACAAAATAATATGGTTCCATTAATCGTGGTGTGGCCTGCGGAAAAACAAGAGAACCGCCACCGAGGGGCACTCAGCCAAAGATCTCAACATCTATCCAGCATTTCAGAGAGGGGTTTGCTCCCAGCATAACTGGACATGCTAGGAATTCCACATGAGACCTTCCGCGTGGAAAGCATGGGCACTACCATTAACCTATGCCACCACCGCCCCCGACTCTTTTTAAAGAAACTCTTACATTGGCCTCTAGCATCTGTGTTAGAAGGGCTGTAATAAAAATAACATTTCCAAAACACATCAAAACAAAAATACAATCAAGGCATAAAAATAGTAATTAAAAACAGCATTAAGATAAGCTGCCCCTTGAAGGGCATTTGAAAAACCTGGGAAAACAAAAAAGTAGTTGCCTGGCACCAAAAATATGCTTTGCTCAGACTGCTGGGCTTTGTTATCAAGACAGATTCTTCTTACCATGAGAAAGGCAGAATACACCACCCGCCGAGCTGTTGGGATGATTTGCCCACCTCCACGATGCAATGGTTCCTGGGCAATGACAGCATCCAGGATCTTGAATTTCACATTGCGGATCACTGGGGCAACATAAAGCACAGAACACAGGAACCAATTACCTTGGGAGGTGGTGAGTGCTTCAGTGCTGGAGGCATTCAAGAGAAAATTGGGCAGCCATCTGTCAGATCTGCTTTGATTTGGATTCCTGCATTGAGCAGGGGGTTGGACTCGATGGCCTTATTGGCTCTTTCCAACTCAATTATTCTATGATTCTGTGAAGAGATGCAAGGTGTGTGCATACAACCAAGGGACCTGAGAACAGTAATTATGAATCTTCATAGAGCAGGAAACTGCAGATGCTTTAACCACACAGTTTCCCTTGTTGTTCTGGTTCATTGTTTGCTTATTTGAAAGTCTGCGTGCTACCGAAGTGAATTCTCTTGTAGCTTATTCTGGGGCTTTTAGGGGTATTAAAGCCTCTAATCTTCCAAAGTCCTGTCTGTTGCTTTTATTTCCTTTTGGCCTCTGCACAAACAGGAAGCAAACTGAAACCATGTATGGAGATGCTACTGGAATATAACTAATTATGGCCCATAACAACACAATCACTTATACCATAACAACTCCTGCATTTGCTTTAGCCTCTGATTTTGTTTGTGTTCAAGCTTGGTGGCAACGAAATAAGGAATTTCAGTAATTCCCAGCATGAACTGTGGGTTCATCTCTGGGAAAAAGTAATCATATCCAAAACAAAACAGCAAGATTTGCTGTCTGCTAGGCAGAGTTCACCAATTAGAGTAACCCAGCAATCTGGAAATGAAACATCCTGAAACTATTATCAGTTCATATGGATTGTGACGCAACAGTCACAGCTGGTGAAAAATATATGCCTGGGACAAAAGGGGCCTGGTAATTCCAAGGTCTGGGGGGAAAAAACCCTTAAAGGAAACCCAAACTTACACTCATCACATAGCGGTCCTTCTCTGGTTCCCCACTGGAAACCTTGCACAATACTGTCCTTCACAGAACCCAAAAGGGTTTTATCAACCTGTCAAGAAGAAACACAAATGCAGCAATAGCAGAGTGGGTGAGTTGAGTGTTTGTGTGTGTGTGTATACGCATGTGTGCATATACAAACTAGAAAACCTGCTACCAAATTTTCCCTTTTGCACATCTACAGGCTAGGAAAGAGAGGGTGGAACACAGCACTGAGGCCAATCAGGAATCTCACTAGCAGTTACGTAGGAGCTACGGCCACATTATTTCCAGTTCTACACTTCTTCTTTCCTCCTCACTATCTGCCAAGGGGAAACAGCAGGCACCGAGCCAAGTGACTCTTCAAAACATCTGCCTCCTAGTAGACACAGCAGAGAACATTCCAGTGTTCTGGATCATGGGTACAGATGGGCATGAGCCAGAAAACCGGTGGTTCATGGTTTGTGACCAACCATGAGCCACCAAGAACTCCTGAAAAATCAAACCAGTATGCAATTCATTTTTCCGCTTGTACTTTGGGTGGGGCCCCTACCTGCTCCTCCTCCCTCTGCATCTGTGGTGGGGGTGGATGCTCAGAGGCCACAGCAGGCTCCTGGCAGGGAAGCAGGAGGCAGTCTCCGAGGATGGCACCTGGGATTGTCACGATGGAGGCGGTGGCAGGAGCAGGGAGGCAGAGGTGATGGGGGCAGGGGGAAGGTGGGCATCCCTTTTTATCGAAGCAAAAAACGCGAAAGAGAAAAAAGTTCAGTGTTTTGTTTTGCTTCGACAAAACGGGTTCATTGAGTTTTTTGGTTCATTGTTTCATGCCCATCTCTAATGGGATATTGTCGAAGCAAAAAACGCGAAAGTGAAAAAAGTTCAGTGTTTTGTTTTGCTTCTGCAAAATGGGTTCATTGAGGTTTTTGGCTCATTGTTTGTTTCATGCCCATCTCTAATGGGATATTAAGAAGTGGGGGAGGGGAAATGAATCTGATGTGAAACAATGCTTCTTCCAAAACATGATTATTATTTTCATTTAGTTTCATGATTTATTTCAGCATCAAAAGATTAAATACACTTGGATGTGAACGTTCCAAAACTCAAGTCCCAAAACTAAAGTAATCCTGGATTAAGAAGCCTTTGATCGCTGCAGCCTCACAATCCACCCCACATTCCTCCTTACCTCTGAAGGCAGGGTGTCATCCACCAAGATATTTGGTCCAGTAGCATCTGGCCCAAAAGCCCAGATAGAACGGGCAGCCAACAAATCCCAGTCATACTTGGTTTGGAAAAACTCGCCCAGCTTTTTTCTAAAGTAAGAGCAGAAGGGAGGTACATCAAGAGTCAGTCAGCTTAATCTTCCTGCCTAATCATGAATTCCAGCTTAATCCACCTTTCACAAACACTTGATCTATTTTTCCTTTAAGACATTTCTGTTTCCCTTGGCAACCTATCTGCAATTCCCATGATTCTTGAAGTATGGAAGTGTTTTTATGGCTGCAATGTTTTAATCAATTATGTGGGGAGTCAACTGAAAACCTTTACATCAGATAAAAGGTACCCTTAAAGAATCACAAAGCAGATTTTTTTTTCAGAAAGCTATGTTTAGTACATGGGTTCTGTGGTGGTGCTGTGGGTTAAACCGCAGAAGCCTGTGCTGCAGGGTCAGAAGACCAGCAGTCGTAAGATCGAATCCACACAACAGCGTGAGCTCCCGTTGCTTTGTCCCAGCTCCTCACCAACCTAGCAGTTTAAAAGCATGCAAATGCGAGTAGATAAACAGGTACCACCTCAGTGGGAAGTTAAAACAGTGTTCCCTAGTCACGCTGGCCACGTGTCAATGGAAACTGTCTTTGGACAAGCGCTGGCTCTACGGCTTGAAAACGGGATGAGCACCATCCCCTAGAGTCGGACACGATTGGACAAAAAATGTCAAGGGGAACCTTTACCTTTTTCTGTATATAAACAAACATGACAGGAGACCTCTGAGCACAACTACTTGTATTTAATAAGGCTGGCAAGTTTTTTAAAAAGTGTTTACATCTACACATACAACTTTCAAACATGGTGGATGGAGCTGCAGTAGTGGAGCCAGCCAACAACAGGGGCCAGTAGAGGGAAGACAACAGTCACAAGAATGTAACTGAACAACTAGAGTTGGCCTGCCAGGTCAAGTAGCTGGAGGGAGCAAGGAAGGACAAACAGCTGCCCAAAACAAACTCTTGAGCAAGGCTCATACCTGTTCCATGTTATTTGTACCACTTCATTCTCAATGTCTTCAGCCAGACCTTTCTCCAGAGGCTCAGCAATCATTGTGATCTTATTCCTAGAACAGACAAGCAAATGTCATTTGGCTGAAGAAGTGATGAAAGAATGCCTTCTAAATCAGCCAGAATCCTGTAAGCTCAGACCCCTGTCAAGAGCCACTTGTTTTTCCACTTGGACTTCAACAGATTGTGTGTGTGTGGGAACAGAGAGTTAAAGGAAGGTGACAGAAAGCAAAGGGATAGCCCCTAGGTTTTTTGTTTTGTTTTGTTTTTGCTTTGGCTCACCTATTTAAAGCACGTGGCTCCCAATAGATCACTCCCATAAGAAATGCAGCCCTCAAAGGCCCTGTATTTTTTTATCTAATCTTTATGAATCCCACTTTTGGGAGAGAGATGAGATGCAAATTAATTCAATAAAATAAGTAATCAAAATTCTTCCTGGGTTTTATAAAATGAAAGCCCACTCATGAGCTCCCATTGTGTTATACAGTCGTTCCCACTTTTGAAGCTTAATTGGAACAGAGACAAGCAATTCAAAACAGCAACTTTAAGCAAGATACGCCTGTGAAACAATATCCATGAGCCTAGTTTGCCTCTTTTCTAGGTATAACTATGTATGCTCTTCTGCTTCTGGAAAATACACATGGAAGCAAGGCAAAAATAACCTGACCTGTACAGGGAATGTGAAGAGACTGCTGAGGGAGGGTAACTGATAATAGGGAGGGATTTCTGATCATTTCCATGTCACATTTCTTTGCAGTTTAGCCTGAAGTCATTCAGAATGCCATAAATAACAACACATGAGCTTCTGCAGCCCAGGGCTAGTAAGCAGACTGCTGAACAAAATACTGTAACTCTTTTTCTCTTCCATACAGTGTTTGTGCACCAGTAGTTTTTTCTGGGGGGTCAGTGGGTGGGGTTTGGTTGGTTACAGTTTCACACTTGTGGCTCACATTTAAGATTCCCCCAAATCTTACTTCTTATTGGGTGTCTCCGCAAAACATTTCAAGGAAGATGTTTCCACAACTGTTTCACAGAAGGTGACAACGGGATCAGCAACCTTTGAAAAAGCAAAGAGGTTGAATTGGTAGAGCTAAACCAAAGGATCACCAGATATTTCAGCTAGAATGTGCACTTGCCAAGTCAACATAAGAAGCAGTCTACTAAGGCAGCCCCTTTTTGTACCTTGATATCAATCTCTGAATACATTTTCCGGAGATCATGCATTACACAATCAAGATAGAGCTCGCCTGTGCCCAAGATCACGTGTTCACCAGATTCTTCCACCTGCATACAGAGGCACAGGATAACATTTAAGAAAACAGATACCATTCTAAGCAATGTATGCATTGCAGTAGCAGCAAGAATGCTCTGTTTCCAGTTGGGACTCCCATCCCCATCCCGCAAAGCAATTACACACCTTGGTGGTTAAGGACGGGTAGCTCTTGTTGACCTTCCGCAGACCATCCAGCATTTTGGGTAACTCAGAGGGATTTACGGGCTCCACTGCAATTTTGATAACAGACGTGGTATTGAACTTCAAAGGTCGGAAGATCTGAGCCTGAAACCAAACAGGCACACAATAATGAGAGTAAATGACTAGTAAGATTATAATAAGTTAACCCACCTTCCCAAGTTGAGACAGCAATTCACTAAATGCAAGGAAAGTTCTCCTTGCATTACGACTAATGCATCTTTGCCCCTCGGAGGTTGTTAAGCTAAAAATTCTACCACTTATTTTGGTTAAGCTAAGGAGAGTTGGAATTCAGCACTGGCTTGTGAGCAGAAAAAAGAGGGCACTGGCAATGTGATGGATACTGGTCATTGCTTTGCGAGGCATATCAGATCCTGCTTTTGTGTGGTTATTAGTTAAGCTAAAATCAAACCTCAGTTTCCTGGTTTGGAAATAACAGCAGGCTGAGTTTAAAAAAGCTATGGCAGTAACACCTATGATTGTGCATTCAGGAAGAAGTAAGCAAAGGGAGGGAATATACAGACCAGCTATTCATTCTCAACTTAACAAGTCATTATGTACTGAAATTAGATCATTACACATACATTAGACCTATTTTGGCAGAAAAGCAAACCAGAAAGGAAAATTAGTTACAAAACTTCTCATTCTCATCTCTCTCTCTCTCAGACACACACATACACACACTCACATTCTTTTGTGTTTGTTTGCTTGTACAGTATATGTGTTTCCTAGCCAGAAAAAAGCATTCTACAATATTGTTAAAAATGGTAAGAGAGGCAGAGAAACTGTCAAGCATAGAATACCATCTTGATCTTCTTCCCAAGACAGCAGTAATGCTTGTATATGTGTTTCCCAGCCAGAAAAAAAGCATTCTACAACATTGTTAAAAATGGTAAGAGAGGCAGAGAAACTGTCAAGCATAGAATACCATCTTGATCTTCTTCCCAAGACAGCAGTAATACTGATTTGGCATCTGTTTCTGATCTACAAGAACTGTGAAGTGTTTGTTGATATTAGGTGCACTTACCTCTTCATTGCCCCTGGGCTCGGTTATGGTGGCTGTCTTCACAATAGGCTGGTCCACACCTTCAATGAGCACCCAGTTGCCAGCAGGAACCCTGTTGACCTCTATGTGATACCTGAAATAAAATATTAATTATGGGAACTCCAATAGTCAGGTCCTTCATTACAAGCAGTACCTAGACTTTCACACAGTAGCAGCTGTAAGCAATCGTAAGAATGTTTCTGAAAGCATTAAGCAGACTTGCTAACCTTTCATCTGCATGGACATAATTTTATTATGTTTCATAAGTGACAGCAAAAACTGTCAATTGACTGAAAAGAGGATTACTTGTGCATGAAAAGTTTCAAGGTCAGTTTGCAACTGAGGCAATGACAAAATGTTACCATTCTTTATTTCTACCACAGAAAGTACCCAGAAAGATGTTATTGAACTCCTATTGCTATTTGTCTAAAACAATTCCAAGAAAGCTGGGTTACAAAAATGAAGTAAGTGGACCGGGCTGAATTTGCATGCAGGGAAGTTCTCCATATATAGCTGGTCATTCAACTCAACTTCCTGAGAATCTGAACCTTTACTCACAAAGTTTTGCAAACTTTTCTCTCTTCAAAGTCTGCAAACGATAGACTTGATTGTGTACAATACAAGGAAAATTTCAAACAATCCAGGAGAAGGACAAAAAAGCTCCAGTATCTTACACAGCAACTTCTTTAGTAACTTATGACCCAGCTGGATTAGTTTTCAAAAGCCACAGCCAGTACAGCCAGTAGTGAGAGTTGATGGGAATTACAGTCCAACCACATCTGGAGGGCAACAACATACTTACAACTTCAATAACGCAAGACAATTCTCCCCAGAATTCTCTACAGAATCTGTATAGATAAAGTTAAAGGTTCCCCTTGACATTTTTAGTCGAGTCGTGTCCGACTCTAGGGGGTGGTGCTCATCCCGTTTTTCAACCCGGAGAGTCAGCACTTGTCCAAAGACAGTTTCTGTTGTCACGTGGCCAACATGACTAAGGAACGCCGCTTTACCTTCCCACCAAGGTGGTACCTATTTATCTACTCGCATTTTTACATGCTTTTGAACTGCTAGGTTGGCAGGAGCTGGGAGAAGCGACAGGAGCTCACTCCGTCGCGTGGATTCGATCTTACGACTGACTGCTGGTCTTCTGACCCTGCAGCACAGGCTTCTGCGGTTCAGTAAATGTAAATATAAATGTGCATAATTTGTTGTTTTCTTTTGGCAAAACTGGCCTACCCAGTGTATGCTGTTTTAAATGGTTTATCTCACATTGATTTAAATTATTTTCTTATCTGTAGCCTGTTCACCTGATAGCATAGGATATAAATACTGTAATAAGCATCCTTTGTATTTGTGCTGTCTTCTGAAGATGCCGGCCACAGAGACTGGCGAAACGTTAGGAAGAACAACCCTCAGTACACGACCAAAGAGCCCGAAAAACCCACAACAACCATTAGCATCCTTTGATTTGCCCAGCTACGTCCTGTCCAGACCTCCAGCTGCTCCCTCATCCAATCTACTTTCCACCTTCTAAAAAATGCCAAGTTCCCCAAACTAAGGAATACACCCTTACTTGGGTTCTGTTAACTGTTAACACAGGATTTGTATCTTTCCCAATCTATTTTTTGTCTCTGAACTGATCACCAGACATTGAGAAACTGGATGAACATGAAAACCTAATCAGGTGAGCCATGAGTCAAGGGAAAGCACTTACATCATAGGAAACCATTATTCACTATTGCAGCCTAATGCCTAACTAGTGATAGTCCTGCTCAGCAGACCCAAACTCTGCACGTACTCTCAAAATCAGGGGAGATTTTAAGACTGTGGGCTGGGTTTCATACTAAAACAACAAACCTATACATGAGATACAAAACAGTGGCCGTCAATGAAAGCCTCTCAGAAGCACCTACCTTGCTACAGAGATCCAGAGACGTCCCACAGTGCAAATCTGTGAATCCTCCTCATCTTCCAGGGTGTAGTTTTCTCCAAGGACCTTAACAGGCTGCCCCGCATGGATGGTCCCACTTAACACCCTACCAAAAGCATGGAACTGGACCCCATCATCCGTACTGTACATCTTCGTGGTGTGACACATGAGCGGGCCCTTCCCAAAGAAAAGGTTTGGCCAGTGTCAGTTTTTTTGGAAAGAATGGTCTTAGTATGTAACTTGTTTGGACACAACCAAGCAACACAGAAAATCGTAGCCACAATTCAAAAGAAAACCAGTTGTTTCACAGATTTTTCTTCAATGAATCCCAAAGCTGTCCAAAAAGCTTAGAAAGCTCACTGCTGACAGTATTGGCCTAAATGGGTGTTTGGTTTAATTCTATAAAAATAGATCTGTTTATCCTGCCTGCCTCTGGAATTCAAAGTCACTCTACAAATCACTAGCTTCTTCAGCGAAATCTAAGGACTATAATTTTCCAAGAGTGTTAAGAATAGCCCTGTGAGATATACAAAGCAAACCAGATATATATCAGCCACATATACTGTTCACAGGCTTGCTTTTTTATATATAAAGCAGTGGGTGGTCTGATTTTATTCCAAAAGAGAGGACATCCTCCTCATATCTCTATGCCAGTGGTTCCCACCCTTGGCCAACCGAGGTGTCCTTGGACTGTAACTCCCAGAAACTCTGGCCAGCACAGGTAGTGGTGAAGGTTTCTGGGAATTGCAGTCCAAGAATACTTGGGTTACCCAGGGTTGGGAATCACTGCTCTCTGCTACCTATTGTCCAATCTCTCTTTGATGTCCAACCCAGCTCAAATACCAGAAGGCTCTTCTCAGCCCACTGGGAATCTCATGTTTTCTTGGGTCTACCAGCAACAGCTTTGGAGAACTGATTAATAGTCTTCTGTATTTGACACTGCCATAGATCCCTCTTCAGACAAGTTTACATATTAGGGATACAACAGAATGCAGCGTTAACACCCACCAATGTCTCAATGGGAACAGAATGCAGAGTATTTTAGATAAGGATTAAAATTAAAAGACAAGTGACTTACTGAAACAGCCAGCTTCTATGCAGCTTCTTTCCACATAAAGCAACATTGTAATTTAGTTGCTTAAATCCTGTTGTGCAGTTATGCAAATGGGCAACATTTGAAAGTACATTGTTGTAAGTTAAGAAATCTCTGTAGACATTTGTTGTATGCTGCTGAGTCATGCAACCTGGTACATGGCAGAAATCTAGAGACATTTCTTAACTTATGGCAATCTGCTTCCAAAAGCTATTCCGTATGCGTAACTGTGCAACAGGATTTCAGCCAATATCTGATCTTACTAACTAACAACATTTTCCCTCTACGTCACTTGGGTAAGCTAGGCTGTTGCAGTTCACAAATTGGGTGTGCATGTGAGTTACACACAATACTTACATCAGGGTCACATTCACTCATGGCTTCCCCCAGGTCCGAGTCCACTCCACCTGTATAGGTGTGCTCAATCTTGGTTTTTGCTCCCACTTTTGGGGAGGGGATATGCTGCACACACATATCAACAAAGCCTAAGAGAACAAACTTCAGTTAGATAGCAATACAGTAACTGAAGTAACAAGAGACAGGGAAGTGTCTGCCTAGGACGCTGTTTGGGCACTGTCTAGTGTCTCGAATGACACTGTCAATTCTATCCTTTAAGGCAGATCAACATAGCTCCTCTGTTAATTTAGAGGGATTTCTCAAAATCCTTTAGTCAGAGGCAGTTCACCCCAATGCATGCTTAGTTATACATTGGTTAAGATGAATGAAATCCAGCAGTCACATAAGAGCATTGCTCAGGTGTGAGGCAAGAAAAAAAATAAAGTTAACCTGTGAATTCTCCAAAAAACTTTTTGCAGACAAGCCTCAAAAGGGGACGGATATTAAGTTTCAGCTCTTCTTTAGTTAGGTGGATTCCCAACTCATCCAGTGTCCGGGGCAGAGTGGTGTCAACATCACCAACCACCTGTTGATAAGAAGAAAGATAAACGGGTAGAAGCTTTAAGATAACCTTCCTTAACACGATGCCCTCCCGATGTTTTAAACTATAAACCTATCGCCATCAGTCAGCAGAATTAACTTGTCCAGTAAAATAAAATTTGGAGGGCACCAGGTTAGGGAAGGCTGCTTTAAGCAGTACAGAAAGGGATCCAGAGGAGATATGGCCAAGTTAGGGCACTCCAGATGTTCTCAGATTGCAATGCCAACAATTTCTCACCAGTGACTGTTAGCTACTGTGTTTCCCCAAAAATAAGACAGGGTCTTATATTAATTTTTGCTCCAAATTAATAAAATTAGGGCTTATTTTCGGGGGACATTATTTTTCATGTACAACAATCTATATTTATTCAAAAAGAATCATGTCATCCTCTTCTGGTTGCTGCACAATGGTGAAGGGCGGGCTTTCACTTAACTAGGGCTTATTTTTAGGGTGGGGTTTATATTATGAGCATCCTGAAAAATCATACTAGGACTTATTTTCAGGTTAGGTCTTATTTTCGGGGAAAAAGGGTAGGATTGTTGGAAATATATATGGATAATCCTGCAAATAAGCACTCACTCTATTGCACAGCCAGATCCAAGTTTGCATCTAAACATCGTGTCCAGGCAATCTAAATTTTAAACCCAGAAAAGCTGGAATCTGCATTCCATATAAATTATGCAAATTTGAATGTAGTTCATTTCTTTCTTTCTTTCCTTTTTTTGGCTAATCAGTGGAAAAACAAACATATGAAACATACATATCCTCCCTCTCATCCTCAGCCATCTTTCTGGCTTTTGAAACTTTACATGGTTTCAAATACACCTTTATGTGCATCAGAAACTTCTTTTTTTAGTAAAAACGAAGGTTTTCAGAAAACTCAGTTTCATGCCTCAAATGATAATTTGTGCTTTTTTTGTGGTACCACACATACATCTATTTTCCCACTAAAAATTCTGGCAGATGGGAGAATAGAACACATTAAAAAACAAACAAACAAAAAAAAAACTGTGGTACCACACATACATGTATTTTCCCACTCAAAAATTCTGGAAAATGAGAGAATAGAACACATTCAAAACAAACAAACAAACAAACAAAAACAAACTAGGGAAATCAGGACAAGCTTCCTCTCTTGTACAACTGCATCCTCAAAACAACCCATGTTATAAGAATTAACCGACTGAACCCATTTCCAACATTATCAGAGAACATGTCCTACATTGTGTCAAGAACATACCTGAGCCAGTATCTTGTAAAGAGGCTCAAGGATAAACTCCACGAAACTCCGCTGGGAACTGCTGGTTGGGGCTTTCTTAGTGAACTTTCTCCTACGAAACACAAGATGATGTGTTGCACAGTCTTAACAATGGTTTGCCAAGCCTAGACAACAAGCCTTTTCTGGTGGCATTATCTGAGTGCAATAAAATATCTAAGCTGGTATATCAAGAGATTTAATTTGGAAAAAAACAAACAAACAAATCCAAACACTCTTCATCCTCATGAGGACGAAAAAATGTGGGATATGTAAAAATAGTTAAAAGTAGAAATGTCTGACTTTTTTATCCTATATTTCCTGCAGAACCAGATGATCTGATTTCTGGGACTGCATGCTAGTAGTATGAAATTATTTTTATTAGATCTTTTGGGATGACTCAGGGGATGGGGTATACTTGATCTTTTTGAAGCTGAAACTGTATATTTTGAACTTTGGAGACAAACAACATATGAAGCAAAAATCTGTTCCAATTCATAGGTTTGAAAGATGCAAATGAGGTTAGAAAAAATGAAAATTAAATTACATCCACATAAATAGTCCAGAGTTATTTCTTTAGTATATCTCCTATCTGCACAAGATATTAATTGGTTGAAATAGTCACAGGTGTATCTTGTGACAAAGACATTTATGTGTGAATAGTTCACCTTGGAGTACAGAGTTGTCCAAAATAATTAATCCTTTATAAATATTGTGATGTTAAGGTACCTATCTATGAGACAAATATCAATGAAACACTGCTATCAAACACATGCTGCAAGGATAGGAATTTTCAGACCTCTTCTCAGTCTCTTATCTCAGCATATATCTTTGATACTGCATATATATTTGATTTAATATACTGTCTACAGTGCTTAAAATACCCAATTTACATGGTTCAGGCAAAGCTGAAATGGAAAAAGCCTACCAATAAGCAGACAAAAATATACAATCATGACTTACGTTTTGAGGTTGAAATAGATGTCTCCCCAGAGCCGTTTGGCAAACTCCTGGTAATTGATATCTCCTGAAATGAAGAGAGGGAGGTCTCAGTTGTGCAGCTAGCCTTTGAGCAAAGTTTCTACTACTATGTTTAAAGCACACAGACAATTCTGAAAATGTGAATGACAGCTTTACCTCCAATAAGAATTTGCTCAAAGGCTCCACTGTTCCTTTCGCTTTGACCTCAGCTTACCCAACAGAGACCTATTCTGGGTATGTTAATGTTGAAAACTGATACAATTAATTAAAACACTAACAATATGCGTCAGGAGCATATATTGTGGCTACAGCAATCCATGCAACAGACAGTGATCTATCTTTTATCTCTCCCAAGATAATGAGCTGATCATGGATGGAAAGCATGCTTGTCCCATCACAGCTGGGTCCCTGAATAACTACCTCAACCTGCTCCTGTAAGCAAAATGGCAGCCATTTTTAGTAGGAAAAATACTTTGGACTTGAGGAGACCTTGGTGAGGAATTCAAAAGTTGTCTGCCGCCTTCCCACCTTCCTAATTCTTGTGCTGAAAGGGAAAACCTCCACCTCAATGGACTATTTTCTGTCTGTCTGTCTGTCTCTCTTTGTGTGTCCGTCCGTGTGTGTGTTGGAAACAGATTCTGCAGCCCTTGCCATTCCTAGTTTTCCTTCCGTCTGCCATAAACACTGAGAAGTTTGCTCTTTCAACTTGAAAGCCAACACACATACCTCAGCACCAAACTCAGGCCTGTCTTCTCATGTAACAGAAAAGTTAGAAATTTTTTTTGGGGGGGGGAGAAAGAAAATGAGACTGGTGGAGACAGGATGCCAAACGGAGAAGCAAACGGAGATAAGACTAGACAGATTCACCAGAGGTTTTTTAAGAAAGCAAGACAAGAAATGGCTTAATAAAAAAAGAGTTTACATCACACAAAGGGACCCACAAGACAAGGCACAGAAAATCAGACTGGGATGAATGGCTTGATTAAAATCACCTCAAGGCAAAAGCAAGATTAGAATAGTAGGTTCTTCTGAAAACTGCTGGACCTCAACATGGAAGAACATGCGGCTCCTAAAAGAAGCAGCTTGTTTTACCAAGCAAAAGCTTTAAGGCTTGCTTTCTCTTATAAAAGCTAAACAGAATGACTCCCAAGAGCTGTAATTCAAAAGACAGCCAGCAGAAAGTTACTTGCGAAAGATTCTTGAGTCACAAAAAGCCTCCACATAATCCTCAGCACAAGAACAGATGAGAGTTTAACTCCCCAAAACAGGCAGCCAGATTCTCAACAGAACTGTATAGTTCAATAGAAACTATGTGCAAGACAGATAATGGCGGGCAGTGCAGTTGCAGCGAGTTAGTTTTCCAACAAGGCCTTAGCCATTATGATAAAGAAGGACTGAACAGGAACCATTTATCTACAGAGAAATGAAATAAAGAGGTAGACTCAGAGCACTGACTGAGATAACAGATAACCCGGATCCCTAGGTCAGATAGCCCCAAGCAAATGATGCTTATCTGCACAGCCCTATCCCTTCATCAGTGAAAGTCCTCCATGGCTGAGCTTCTAAAGTGTGGTGGAATCTTGAGACCTTGTATATATATAAAAGCTGTGCATCCTACAGCTCTGTGCTGGCCAACCTCGGGTAGCCCCAGTGTTTTTGGACTACAATTCCACTACCAGCTGTGTTGGCCAAGTGACGGAGTTGCAGTCCAAAAATACCTGGGTTACCCAGGGTTGGGAACCACTGCTACAGGTTACTCTCAACACAGATGGAAATACAACACATATACAGGTGCAAAGTATGGCTAGGTAACACCGTACATTTCAGCATTTCAGAATGAGTCAATCAAGAGTCAAAATCTCCTAATGTGAACAAACATTCTGGAGGACTCTTACCATACATATCAGCATAAATCTTGGCAAAAGAACCCAAAGTGAAACAGATGCTGTATTGCGAGCTGGCGAAACAAACATTGCCCAGGAGTGGAGAGAGGATGAGGTTCTCATCTGTGGAATACATGCTACAAACAAAGAGGCAGTTTTAGTTACGATACCTGTTTCTTACATAAAAGAGGGCATCAACAGGAGATAAGAGAGACTCAAAATTTTTAAGTCAGGCTGCAAGCTCTCATCAAGAAATTTATTCCTGTGGACTAACTATAATCAGGTAGAGCCAACTTTATTCAACAAAACTAAGATTTAAGGGCACATTTATTTAGTTCATTTTAGTTACGACAGTAAGAAATAAAATAATATTAAAAATAAGCAGTGGATTTTGCTTACTCAATTGCCAATTTTATTACACTTCCTCAAGTACTGCCCAACATCACTCTTGGTTTTGTTTTTTCCAACGTTTAACCAATTATACTAATTAATTATTGAATGGAAATAATTTCCATTTGTTATCAAAATCTCAGTTCCTTAATTGATTAAAATGATTAGACCTGTGTGATAATCAAAGAAGAAAAAAAACCACACACACATTAAACCCTGGGCACTGTTAAAAATAATCTGACAGGATGACAGAACTAGAAGTCAAGTTCACAGAACTTCTAAAGTTAAGGTCAGTGTCAGTTAACTGACATTCATCACTGTGGGGTCTGATGTTACAGTACTAAATACACATTTAGGAGAGAATAGTAGATTCCTACCACCCCATCTTCCCTATAAAATTAAATCACCTGTGGAACTTCCCAAATCTGGTCAGTTTTAAGGAACTGAATGAGAAGAGTGCCAGGTTGATTGTGATAGTACAGACCCGGCTTGTCCATGTCACTCAAAAATATGTTTCAAGTATTGATCTTTTTATACCTGATTAAGCCGTTCACTTCATCTACAATGTGCCGCAGTTTGTAATAGGCATCAGTAGGAGGAAGCTTCAGTTCCAGGATCAGGCGGTCAATTTTGTTAATACACACAGTCACTGCCAGTCTCTCTTGCACTGCATGCTTGATCAACCTCTCGGTGTTAAGCATCACCTACAGGGATATATAACAGAAGAGTGTGCCAGGTGGGGCGTGAGGAATCAGGCACTGACCCTTCTCTGCTGGGCAAGCCTGAAGTAGCATCTGTGTTGAGACACCCACTAGCTAAAAGTTTGCTTTTAGGAAATATGCTTAAACAGAGCATTCTTTTAAGCCTGTCTGATGAGCGTTTGGGAAAAATAGAGCTTTTTGTCACTTGGAAATATCAGAAGACAAGGAGATAGGCAGATTAAATTTTATATTACAATAGCATTTAGGCCTGTGCAAAGATACAGACAGACATAAAAGGGACACTATTAAAAGGAGGAAACTGTAGAGTAGTGAGAAAAACACTGTTCTCCACTGCTTCTATTTGGGGTAATCTGGAACATTTTTTCTCTTACCTATTAATCACTGGTTACAATAAAAGGATAAGAGAGAAACTCTGATTAAAAAGCAGTTCTTTACATTTTTGTTTTAACTTTCAATACATCAAGATTAAATATACTGGAAAGCATAAGGAGGACTTAATGATGGAGTGTGTGTTGCTCACTATTCATTGTTAATTCAATTTATTTAAAGAGGGGATTGACATGTTGGCATTGTCAATGTGTAACATCCTCAGTAAAGTTTATGACATTATTTTAATTTAAAATATTTGTATATTGCCTTTCATGAAAATATTTTTAATCATATTTCAAATGAGGGTGACTATTAACAACAATGTCATGAGGTCCACTATCCAATTGATGAATTCAACTCCAGTCCATAAAAATAAATGTGACAGTTTTTATGAATTATATAAACCTTCAAACTTCAGTATGGCTGCAGCTACAAGGAGACATTGCAAAAGAATTGCTATACTTAAAGGCCTTTTCTGACAGATGCCTACTGAGCCTTCCATCAAAACCTCCAAGAACAGAGATTTTATGAACCTCTCACAGACTATGGAATTCTGCTATTGCACAAATTTCTTCTGAATCTCAATATGACTCGTTTTCCTGTCAATTAAATCTGCTTCCTGGACTATCCACAGCAGACAATGTTACCAATTCCTCATCTGTCCGTTTTAAACATCCTCATTCCAAGTTCTCATCGTTTATATTCAAAATGTCCTGGTTTCAGAAGCTGGCAAAATCTAAGATATCCTGATAAGAGTTCTGAATGAAAGAAACCCCCACTCTTTGAAATAATTCTGATGGCTAATATACTGTGCAGTGCTTTATTTTCCACTAACTGGAAGTAAGTTCCAGCCTAAGGAAAAGGGTACACACATGCTATACTCACCCCCTCTGCAGCATCAATGAAGAGCACCACGCCATCGGAAATGCGAAGACCTGCTGTGACCTCATCGGAGAAGTTTACATGACCTTTAATATTTTTTTGAAAAAATAACCCAACAAAAATGGAAAGTCAGTCACAGCATGTTCATCACAGACAAGGGGGTTAACTGGAGCATGAGAAGCTAATCCTTGTGTCTGTTGACCTGCTGTGGTTCACAAGCTCCTAATGCTGGCAGCCAAAGGCATTCTTCCCACCCCACAAAGGAAAGGAACTGCTGCCAGCAGCTACATGCCATGTGCAGAGTTTGCTGACTTTTTCAGTATGCAACAAATTCATCGGAACAATAATCTAGTACAGCTTTTCAAAATGATGGCGGCACTGCAGTTTTCACAGTACTTAGCTACATCCACAAATTACTTCCCCAGAGAAGAAGCCTATGTGTCCAAACTGAAATCACAGGCAGAAGCTCAGAAAGCGTGCAGGATACAAATCGCACAAAGAGATGCCAGGCTCTCAAGTTTGCATGGGTTTATTTATTTATTTAATTTATATCCTGCCCATCTAGACCGAAGTCTTGCATGTAGCTAATTTATATTAAGGGAGGAGATGAACCATGTGCTCCCACTCCAGCAAAATGTTTTTCTGGCAAAAGAAAACTGCTGCTTCTAGAAGCTTTTACAGTGGAAACTGCCTATAAGACATGGCATAGCCTCCCTCTACCCCTTTTCACAACAGAAAGGGAGCATTTATGAAGCCAGGAAGTGGTTCCAATCAAACATGGCTTTGTTTTTTGCACATAATGGCTAAAACCTCATTTTCTGAAATCTCCAGCATGATCCATACAGCTATTTTGCTTGGAATTGGCACTTTTTCTCTCAGTATAGATCACAGAATATATACAGGAAACCCATATGTGGCTATCAGATTCTGCTGAGATTTCTACACTGATAGCATAACTGCTTTACAATTACTATTTTAGATGGTTCTCTTTTTAAAAATATCTGTTTAAAGCCCCTTCACTTAATTTTCCATGGGTTTATCGTGGGGGTACAGATTTCAAGGCCCGCTCAACTCACCAGGTGTGTCCATGATATTGAAAAGAAATGATTTGCCCTTGGTGTCAGGGAGAACAATGGTCACTGGTGTGCTCTTGATTCCAACACCTCTCTGAAAAGTAAGCAAGGTGTAAAATGGGGGCTGAAATCACCTGGGAATAGGGAACATAACGGAAGAGGCTCCATAATGTGGAGGAGCAAGTTACGGTCAAGTAGCAGTAAGTTACATACATTCCAAAGACAACGCCACTAACACATTAACCACTTTATTTGACATGAAATCTGACATAATGAGGAACCAGATCCAGAAATAGAGAAAGATCTGAGGATTCAAGATTTCTTGTGATTATTCAAACAGCAAAGCTTAGTATAAATATTCAAAGAGACACAGTGCTTACATTTTAATTTAATTTTATTACTTTTTTCCTTCCTTCTCTTTCTTCATACGTTGCCTAATTAATACACAGGATCTACTGCACAAGATGTGGTAGTGGCCTCTCACTTGGATAACCAGTTGGGGTTAGACAAATCTATGGGGACTCGTTTGTTACTGTGGCTATTTTCAAAGTCAACACACTATTAACAAGAGAGGTGTCTTATTGCACTCATTTACCAAAATCTGGTGCACAGTTTTATGTCTGTTTTGTTCCTTCTGGAGCTTTATTCATGAATACATTTTTAAAAAAATTGATTAACTCAGAACAGAACACAGGAAGGATGTGAAGAATCAGACTCTTAAGACTTTCAAAAGGCTGATAATATATACATTTTAAAAAACTGAATGTGTTTACCTCTTGTTCAGTGAAGAGTATATCTGTATAGCAAAGCTGGAAGGAAAACAACAGTAAATATCTCAGAGGACAGCTTACAAAGGTGAAACATTTTGATCTACAGTATCTCATTTTAGATTTGCTCTTTTAACTAAATGGTGAAAATTTGGGGGGGACAGGAAGAGAAGCCCGGAGCCACCATGGGTGCTTCGGGGGAATCAACACAATAGAAGTTTGCAAAAACAATGGGAACAATGATGGCATCGCATTACACAACTAATATACAGAGTTGTACAAACAAAGATAGCAGGTCTATTTATGATCTCTTTTAAAATAGAAGGAAATCAGATGATAAGCTGCTTGCTAATCCAATGTGTTAAAGGCATTTCTATTAATGATCACTGTTCCATGCTAGGCTGAGGGGAAGATGATATCAGCCTAATTCTCCCTCACATGGTAAACCTACAATACTTTTCAACTATATCATTTCAGACCACAAGGGAAGGCTGAATGAATGCCTCCATAAAATATATGCATAAATACATTAATACTGTACTACATAAGGAAAACAGATTAGGGGAGCAAGTTGTAATCTAGTCTTCTCCATTCAAACTAGTTTTATATATGAAGGGAGTTTTTCTCACCCAACATGGAGGTATTTGTGTCATGCAATTATAATCTACAGTCTAGAATGGTAGACAGCTACCATCAGCAAATAGCTGTGTCAGAAACTCTTAAAGGAAATTCTATAGACTGTCTTCTTTGATCCCCTGAAGAAATCTTCAAGTTTTAAACACAGCAAAATGCATCTGACTTTTAAATAATAAATACTGTTTCATATTATCTTGAGATGTACACAAGACCATATCTCTTAATATGAGATATGGGTGGGCTCTACCAAGTAGAATGGGATTTACACCTGGATTCATCCATTTTACTTTCACTTCACCTCATGTCCTTAGACCTACTGACAGCTTGGATGTAGCTCCTCACACCTTAGGCTTCCCAAGCTGGAATTCAGCCCCTGGACTGGAAGAGATCCCCACCACTGCCATATGAACCCATCTCCAAAAGGATTATAACAAATTAAGAAGGTAACCTACATCCTGGTCATACCGCTTCCTGATTTCAGGGTGAGTCTGTTCAATCAAACAATCCACAAAGCAGGTCTGAAACGGCACCAGAAAAGCAAAAAAGAACAAATGACAAAGCAGATCAACTCATTAAATGTGCCCCAGCTCAAAGGAAACACGGGGTAGTTTGACTTGAAACTCAGCAATGACTCAAGCTTGATTTTTTAAATGAACCTTCCAAGAAAAATTGAACCTCCCCACCCTTCCAGGCAACATTATTTGTTAATGCTAACCTTGCCATGGTGCAAGTGTCCACAGAGTGTAACGTTCCGGATCAGCTCAGAATTGTCCATCAGGTCTGCAAGGAAGCTGAGAGAAGAGGAGAGCAGAGAGGAGCTTTTAGTGATTCATATTGTCAAGGAATTTTGAAAACTTTTCATTATCTGACTCAAAAGCACCTTCCTTCATATCAAGCACAATTACCAAAGCAAAATTACTTTTAGAATCTGTGACATGAAATTGAGAAGCTGTGAATTTAAGCAGCTGGGGAAGAGGGGATGGAATCAAAATCAACCTTATAAAATCAAGGTGGTGGAAGATTATTTGCCTGGATCAGATCTGTGTCAGGTCTCTGTCGAAACAAAGGGCTCCAATGTTATGGTGCATGCAAGCAGGATAACTGCCATGTGCAGCAAAGGGAGAGCAGAGGAATCATCAGTATCTTTTAGTTGCCTCTTGAAAGTTGAGCCGGGTAGCAGCTGGTTTGGCTGATGCATCAATATCACATCTAAATTGACAGCAGGCAGTACTGCTGCTAAGTTTGGAAAGTCAGAAGGGTTTTCAATCAATCCCCTCAGGCATCTCTCATTGTAGTGAGAGAGAGGGGCTATATTTATTCAAAACTAAGAAGATTTAATGTTTTTGTGACACACTTGCATTTAGCTGCAAAGACAGAATTCAGTGTCTCTGTACAGGAAAGGAACATAGAAAAGGCAAAAAGCAGATGCAAGTTACATAAACATTCATCTGCAGCCAGAAAGAATATAACCATTTGGCTCCTACTTGTGATGAGCAGAAGGCCTCTCATATTGTGACTTCACAATGGTCTGAACGTTCCTGCCCCCCTTCCATATCACTGACCACCAGCAGTAAGCAGAGGAACCTTATGGTGCTGCCCTGTTTTGCAACCATTGCAGTAAGTTGGGATGAATGTGTGCGTGAGGTAAGGGCCTCTTAAGGATGAAGGAAAAAAAAAAGAGGCACTCCCCCATTAGGACTTTAAAACAAATTTGTGCTGGTATAGAATATTAAGAGATATGATCTTGTGTACATTTTTTAAAAAAAGAATATTAAGTAAGAGTAGAACATGAATAATGTTTGTGGATCCAGAGTAGCAGGCAAATATATAAATGGAAAGTGATTTTTTTAAAGCAGTATACTACAAGGCTACAAACGAATGTATAAATTCAGATGAATAAGATAATTGTTAACTCCTTCATTGTTCAGTTTGAAGTGGAGGTGGGGACAAGACAGAAGAACAACCAAGCTACATGCTATACTCACTCCATCTCATACACAGTGACTGGCAATGTTTGCTCCATAAGAGAAAATTTCTTGGTTTTCACTGGTTTTATAATAGGTTCTGAAAGAAAGCACAAGAAATAACATTTTTTTAAAAAGGCAAAGCTGGAAAGCTGCACTCCATTCAGTGGAACCTAAGAGGATCAGGCATATTGCATATTTTTACATATCTCACAAATCACAAATTCAATTCCTCACATTCTTTACTGAAGATTTTCAGATAGTGGAAATGAGAAAGCTCCTTGAGTCCTACTATCATTCCCTAGGCTTAGACAATTCGGATTTAGAAGGATAAACTATTCTTGACTTATACCACTTCAGATTACAAATGTGTGCTTGTATAATTACACCTAACACAATACACATAGAGACACACATCCCTTTATTAAGAGATGGAATTCAATATTTCACCTCTATCTCTCAAAGAAGCTGAGCCCTAAATATTAAATACTACTTCCTAGAAATCTAAAGTATTTTTTTCTGCTTTAGCATTTTACATATATTCTATGTAAAATAGAATTATTTCACTACTTAGATAGAAGCATTTGAGCTGCATCATTGTGATGCCAATAACATATTTTTAAAACTGGAATCTTACCTCCTAAATTTCTCACCTGTCAGAGGCTGAGTGTCTTCCTCCTGTACTATGGTCTCTACCTCTGGACCATACACCTCCTCGGCTGTTGGATAGTATTTCTTATCTTCATGTAGCACCACATCCATCCCAGGGTGGTCATCATCATGATCTCCCATCTCATCATCATCTTCATCATCATCAAGCTGAAAACAGAATGAAGGCCTTCAATAGGTTTCTATCAACTGCAACCTAGCATGGTCCCAATATAGAATTTGGGATTGATCCCATATGTATGCTCAATATTTGATAAATCATTAATACAACCTCAAGCCTGCAGAAGTTTATGTCACAGTGCACTCATTAGTCATTAAAGCACTTTCCAACTGCTGTGCCACTTGGCTATTTTTCTCAACACTAAGGTTAATTCAACCTCATTTCCCAAAAAGGGATTGAGGTATTGAAATATGGAAACTTAAATTAGCAGTTTAATCAAATAACTGACTAAACTACTTAAGCAACAGACAGTTTAGATAAATTGTTATTTTTAGCAAGATTGGCATGTACTTTAGAAGCATGAGACTTTTACCTCATCAAGATCCTTTGATTCCCGACCCATTTCATCGTCGTCGTCATCAGAATCAAGTTCTGGGCCGATGTAATTCCCAAACTCATCATATAGGTCTGTATCCATGTTGCTAGGCCTTGGGGAAAAAAGAAAAACATAGAAAGACACAGGGCTGGTCTCTATTCTGAAAATGCTATTTCTGTAACACTGGATTGCTCTGGCTTTTTATTCCATTTGCCAACTGGCAATTAGACTCACTACATGGCTTTTCCCCCTATAATTTCCAAGGAATAACCTTAATCTGTCTCATGTCAGGAACACTAAAGGGGGAAAAGAAAAGGCAAAATATTATAGTACTTCAAAGGCTAACAGATTACACTTGCTAGTCAAAATTCTACGGGTACTCTGAAGTCGTCTGACTTCTGAATAGAGTGGGGCATTCTCCCTGAAATGTCTCCCCTCACTCTGCCCACAAGACAGCACTGCTAATCTAGCTATACATAAACCTAAAGCATTTGGAGGATTGTTATACTACTGATCACTCAGCACTTCCCGATCGCCCACGCCCACCTAGGATAATACTTCCAAATGATGTTGCTAGAGAATCCTGCAACAGGCTGTCCTCTTCTCAGTAAACAATGCCAGCAAAACGGTAAGCAGAGATCATGGGGAAGAGGGAGAAAGAAATATTTAGTGTCATTACCAGATCAAATAACTAGTTGCCAAAATGGAAAACCAATGGCAAACTGCAATTAGCTGCCATTTGATATGTTTTACTGCTGGACTTTGTCTTTTTTATTTCAGTGGCAATGCTAAGCACATACTTTTCTCCCCTCTATGAAATAATCAAAGATACTTTAAAATGCCTCGATTTAGTTGCTCTGTTTTTAGACAACATGAAGGCATGTTGTTACTTTCTTGAGCGCATCTGTTCCTTTCCAGCTATTACCCTGTAGGTTATCTCGCGTGTGCAATTCAAATGGCACAATCCTATGTTTGCTCAGTCTGAATTTTGTGCCTAATGTTCCGTGAGGAGATCTGGGTTCAAATCCTTGCTCAGCGGGGTTTGTTTCCAATAGTAAACCATCCCTTCAGCATCCCACATATCTGGAAAACCCTATTAACGTTGCCATAATTTGGAAGCGACTTGATGAGGAACAACGTTTCCTTAAATCATTATCCGTTCACTCCTATTTTCGTAATCATTTCACCCCTTGGCGGTGAAAAACATGCCGAGACAGACCACACATGCAGTCACAATTCCTTAAATCATTATCCGTTCCCTCCATGACCAATTCACCCCTTGGCGGTGAAAAGCATGCCGAGACAGACCACACATGCAGTCACATACATACCTGTTCTTCCTTTCCCTCTTTCCCCCTTTTTCTTTACGTTTCCCTCCCCGTCGGCTCCTTCCTCAGTAGCTACAGCACCTCACTAAACAAGCGCGCGTTGCTTCGGACGTTTCTTTCCCGTCGCATGCGACTGCGACGTTGGCGTGAAAGGTCCCCTCCCGTTTCCTCCGAAGGAAGCTTAGTTTGTTGCCAAAATTTTTCTGCCTCCTTTTTTCCTTCTTCCATTTCAGTGTTGGGGGGGATATATACAGATATTTATCGGCGTGAGTACAGCACTTACACTGTAAATACTTTAAGAGACACGTAAGTACAAAGACGGCCTCTAATCAGGCGCGTAGCGTAGCCACCTCTAAAGGTCCATCTCGCTTCAGCGTGTTCTGGTTGTTATGGAAACGGAGCCTAAGTTTCGTTGCTATGGGAGGCCTAGGCTTACCCGAGAGCGAGGACTTGGCCACCATTTCCGCAGAGCGATAGACTGAAGCGTCACCTTCCCTCCTCTGTGTTGTGCTTCTTTATCTGCGGGAGGGTAGTGACATTTCCAGGGTCTCGTTTCCTTAAAGCATACGTGGAGAAACCTATAACAGACCCGTGGTGTTGACAGGTATTGGACACAGTTTTTGCTGTTTCATTTGATACAGAGAGTTTAAAGCTGTGAGTTGGCTGTGAGTAGCCAAGGCTTACTGCAAGAATGATGCTTGGTTGGCAGGTGAACAATTTAAGGTTGGTTGTTGTTGTTTTTTGCAAGACATTGTTTGACATTCTTTATCATAACTACATTAGTTACCTTTGTTGCTCCTAGCTTTTCAGCATGGAGGATGTGATCGATTTTCGTGCTTTGGAGAAAGAACTGGAAGAAGCTATTGCCAGTGATGAGAAGTACCAGAGAGAAAATGCAGCCAAATTCCGAGCAGTGCATCAGAAAGTGGCATCCTATGAAGAATTCAGGTTTCTTAATTTCCACTGGATCCCTTCTTGATGAGATAGCATATAAAGAGGGAATAACTGCAAACCATTTACCTGTTGGATCAACTACTTGTGAATTTAACAGAGTGCATGCAACTGTGTGGGAGGCTGGTTTGGCTTAGCCTCTGGGATACATGGGACACCCTCCAATAGGACTCTTGTCCAGCCCGCCTGTCACCACTGAGTGAGCCGGAGCTCCAGCAAAACTTGCGAGATCCGACACTGGGATCTTGCGAATTTTGACTGTTACTCTTGAGCCACAGGCTCCGCAGCGGAGCCTGTGGCTCAAGAGGCCGGAAGCGATCCTTGCGCCAGCGACATGATGATGTATTACGTCGCCTGCACGGGATAGAAGAAAGTCAGAGAGGAAGGCCAGAGGGGAACAGAGGACAGGTGAGTTAGCTCAGTGTCGGGTTTTTTTTTGCTTCACCCCCCCCCCCGCGGTGGACAAATTAAAACGACCACATAATTAACTCCCCACTGTTTCATTTTATTTTAAAGTAAAGTTGGTTCGGCCCCCAAACACAGTTCAGATTTTTCATGTTGACCCCCTATAGAAATGAATTGCCCACCCCTGCCCTGGATGCTACAATGTGCATCTTAGGGTGCAGCTATACAATGGGAAAAATACAATTTGATTTGCTGTAATTCACAACTGTGGAAATTGGGTCTGCATGGGTGAAATCAGTGTAGTCCTCCAAACAACAGTTTACAGGAATCACCAGGTACAGAGGCAAGAAGTTCTGTTTGCAGGGATCTGAAACTGCCTTATGGTATTAACAAGGTGCTAATTAGCAATTCCCACTTCTTCCTCTCTCCTTTTTAAATTGTTTTTTTAAGTACCTTGGCAATAGTGCCTTCCAGTGCTGAGCTGAAACTTTTTTCTTAAAGAACTGGTCTGGAGACAAGAGGTCCTTGGCTGAGGGTAATTCAGACCTTTGCAAATCTCCCTCTCCATTGTATCAGGTGATCACACTGAGCAGAAAGTGGACAAAAGTAATGTCAACCTGATTGGAACAAATTTAAACCACCTTTGTTGGTTGAAAATAAAAGTTGATTTCCCCACTTAAAAGAGACAATTTCACAATGGGCTTCCCTGCATCCAGCTTTATGTCATGTAGTCATGCATTTTAATTCATCTGTGCCCAATCTGATGCAAATTACAGGACAAAAAGGCAATGTAGTTGTCCCCATGGAAAACTACTTATGACAGGGATTGTTGTTTGGAGCTGCCTGCTTATATAGAGAACTTCCCTGTTCTTTATATAAGTGACAGGGTGCAGATTTCCACATCCCAAGATTTAATAGCTGAGTATATGAGAGAAAGAGACAAATTACATTAACAATTTAAAAAATATTTCCCTGAAAATGATAAAACAGGGGCAGTGATTTTGGAACTCCTTCTCACAGGAGGCCAGGTTGGCCCCATTTTTGCTGTCCTTTTGCAAGCACAGGACAAAAAGGCAATGTAGTTGTCCCCATGGAAAACTACTTATGACAGGGATTGTTGTTTGGAGCTGCCTGCTTATATAGAGAACTTCCCTGTTCTTTATATAAGTGACAGGGTGCAGATTTCCACATCCCAAGATTTAATAGCTGAGTATATGAGAGAAAGAGACAAATTACATTAACAATTTAAAAAAAAATCCCCTGAAAATGATAAAACAGGGGCAGTGACTTTGGAACTCCTTCCCACAGGAGGCCAGGCTGGCCTCATTTTTGCTGTTCTTTTGCAAGCAGACAAAGACCTTTCCCTTCAGGCAAGTTTTCCCTTACTGTTTTGAATGTAACAATGATTTTTTTAAACCATTTTTTTGGTATGGTATTTGTTTGATGAGAACTTCCCTGTTCTTTATATAAGTGACAGGGTGCAGATTTCCACATCCCAAGATTTAATAGCTGAGTATATGAGAGAAAGAGACAAATTACATTAACAATTTAAAAAAAAATCCCCTGAAAATGATAAAACAGGGGCAGTGACTTTGGAACTCCTTCCCACAGGAGGCCAGGCTGGCCTCATTTTTGCTGTTCTTTTGCAAGCAGACAAAGACCTTTCCCTTCAGGCAAGTTTTCCCTTACTGTTTTGAATGTAAAAATGATTTTTTAAAACCATTTTTTAGTATGGTATTTGTTTGATCCCTTTTAGTATTTGTATACTTGCTGTTGTTAGCTTTAAATACAGCCCTTCAATGTAAGCTGCCTTGGGTTGTTTTTAAGGAGAAAGGCAGAGTAAAAACCAAAAAAATATATAAATACTAACATACAATATTAGACCAGGTTCTTGTATTTTTACTAATTGTACAGAAAATGGAATATCAAGAGCTGCAGATTTTCTCATCCCTGCATTAGCCAAAGGTGTGCCTGCTGAAATTTCAGAATTGCCCTCTTCTTTTTTGCTTGTAGAGATATTGTTCGTGCATCACATTTGAAACCTCTGGAGAAGAAGGACAAGATGAAGAATAAGAGAAGTGTGTTATGGAACTCCTGTGCAGTTAAATCAGACTGTGTACAACAGAGTGAGGTCGAACTGCCTCAGGTGAGAGCATCTCTTCCTAGGAGTTCTCAATAGTTGGTCCCTTGTGAACAAGTCCAAATCATTAGAAAAAAGCAAAGAAGTATTAGATTGTGTCAGAGTCTGCATGTGTTGGGATCTGTTCTTATCTTCCAGGAACTGGAGCGGTTTCCTGAGAACTCTTCGGAATTCTACAGAGACTGGCGCAGAGGCATGAAAAGCATCCAGGAACGCTACCAGTTCCTGCTCCAACTTGGATCCCAGAATTTGGGTCAGATTTTTCAAACAGACTTGGCTTTTGGTCTCCTAGGTGAATTCTTAACAGTGCTCACTGAAGGTGCCTGCACTGAGGACCGGGATTCTATCTTGGAGATCCTGGAGACTTTTGCAGGCACCAAACGCTTTGGTTTGAATGTGGAACTCCTGAGTGAGCAAGAGAAGAGAGTCTGTAAAGGGTTGTTTAAGAAACTGCAAGAAATGGGAACTGGATCTGGTGACATTCCTGAATTATCACATGCCTCTGATGAAGATGTTGCAGCTGAAAACCAAATCCTTTGCCAACCAGATGGGCCATTTGAAAGAAAACTGATGGAACTGATGCACATTTACCAGGTTCTCTAGCATAGCCAACTACTTTGAATCTGTATACCATCTCCAGTGCACAGAAGGCTATTGCAGATTGTACAAATGATTAAAACATCCACCAGGAACTACTTCTACCAATACCTTTAAAGTTAATGGTGATCCCCAAAGGCACATCTCACTGATCTGAGGAGGTCTTCTGTAGAAAAAGATAGGCTCATGCTGCTTGCATTTTGTCTCTGCTCTGATGCTTGCATTTTGTCTCTTGCACTTTGTCTCTGCTCTACATGTTGTCTCTGCTCTACATGGACTTTTACATTCTTCCTTCTCTACAGTAGTTGTGTGCTGTCAATAAATAATATTTTTATTCTGCTATGATTTATTTCATATTTCTTATAGCACATGTGCTGTTTGACATCTGCTTTAGCTAGGATTCACCAAATCCTAGTCCTAGAATCGATTTGCTGTTCAAAAATTTAGTTGAAGTACAGTGGTGCCTTGAATTGCGAACTTAATTCTTTCCGGATGATGGTTGCAACTCAAGTTGGTCATAACTCAAAGCACCATTTCCCCTAAGAATACATTGAAAGGTGTTTAATCCATTCCAGTTGGGTTTTTTTGGGGGGGGGTTGTATTTTAAGGTGCTGGTTGTATCTCAAAGCATTAGTTCTCATAGGAATAATAACATATCTGCCAGTTATCCCATCTTAACTTTTCTGTTACATGTAAGTTTATCATTGATTCCTATATCCCAAACCTCTTCCCTATACCAATTACTCAACTGGGAATTATAAATTTTTAAAATTCCTAGCAATATTCAATCTTACAGCCATTAAAAAGTTGTAAACACATTCTTTAATTGTCCAGTTTTTTTGTTGTTTAGTCGTAAAGTCATGTCCAACTCTTTGTGACCCCATGGACCAGAGCATGCCAGGCCCTCCTGTCTTCCAATGCCTCCAGGAGTTAGAAACATTCAGAGTCAGTTACATATCAATAAACAACACAGAGAAGTCCCATTTCCTTAGCCTTATGAAGGCTAAAAGATATGACCTTAAAGCAAAAACAGGATGGGAGAGAGAAACAAAAATAAGAAAACACAAGCAAAGTTTCTTGATACGCTAGGGTTCCTCAACCTCCTTATCTGGTGTCTGTTTTTTGCAGTTACTGTACAAGGATCTCTAGTAACTGGGATGGAAAAGTATGCTTAAGACACTGAAGAACTGATGCCAGTCTAGATGGTACCAGTGGTCTTAATTCAGTTAAGACAGTTAGGAACTATTTGTCCATATTTGCTATGCTGGAGTTGAATTAGCATTCTAGAACTTATGTGAGCAAAAAATGAAAACAGTTCTAGAGTCTTTCTTATGAAAGCGTAATGTATGTATACACAGTTTAAAATGGTAGGTATTTGAAAGATCGGGGACAAGAGTGAGGAAAAAGAAACATTCCACAGCAGAAAGAAGAGGGAAAAGTCCACTCTCATTGTTATTAAAACATAATTCATAGAAGGTCAGAGCTTATAACCAACATCTATTCACTTGTCATATGGCTTCAGCAGGGTTGGCTGGAATTCTAATTGTCCTTGGTACTGTGGATGTTCTCCATGCCTTTGCCCTTATAGAGAAGGAAGATATATTCAAGAGGACCCCTTGTCCAGCCTTCCTGATGTTTGAGAATGCTGCTTACCTAGCTGACATGAGCTTTGAGTTGCCCTGTAACTGCAAGCCAGAGGAGATTGCCTCTGTAGTTTGGTATTTTCAGAAAAATATGGGCAGTCAGCAGACAAAGATTTTGACAGACTTTGATGGCACTTTGGTAGTGGACTCCAGCCACATCAAGGTGGGCAGTGACATGCTCCGGCGCTTTAGCATTAGGATGTTCAGTCTGATTGTCTTCCGGGTTCAGGTGGAAGATTCAGGGCACTATATTTGTGGCACGAAGAAAGGGGATTTCTTCTATGGCTATGATGTAGATGTACAGCCTTCTAAGGGCATAGCTGTTGCCTTTGCCGATAAGGATGAGCACCCACAACAAGACCATAAGGAAGCACACTTCACAGTCTTCACCACCTTCTGGGATTGGACCAAATGCAACCGCTGCGACGTCAGAGGTGAACAACGGAGAATTGGACTTTGCTATGTGAGGAGCCCCTCTCTGAACAAACGCTACCATACAACTGCAGCAGAAGTGGCATCCTGTGGCTCAAGGTCAATCCCCAAGAGGTTTCGGAAGGCTGTTCAGGTCAGGAAGCCTGAAGTTGTTATCCGAAGTTGCATGATGAGTTGTAGAGAGAAGACATCCTCAAATGAAGGAGAGGCATCTATCTCAAATGTCATTTCAAAGCTTGGAGAAAAGCCCTGGGTGTCCAATGTCCCTATTCAATTCTATAAGCAGTCCCTTGGCAGTGGTTTGATCATTGCCTGCCCAGGAGCAAGGCCAGAGCATGCTGTGGCTTGGGACAAAGATTCAACTAGGCTGTACCTAACTAGGTTCCTCATTGGGGTCAATAAGAGCATGAGAGTCTTCATTGACCATGGAAACCATCTGCACATCCGCTTTGCCCAGATGAATGACAAAGGCACCTACTACTGCTGGCGAGAAGGGCAAATGATTGCTGGTTTCCGCTTATCTGTGGTGTATGAGAGCCGTCGCAAGCGAAGCCTCAATGATCCTGAGACATTGTATGCTGTCAAGACTATCCTCACAAGCTACGTCCTCATCACTCTCCTCTTTGTAACCATCCACATTGTCCGCTGCTGCTTTTATACCTTTAGGTGCACATCTATGAAATAGCATCTTCTAGGAGAATGGCCATGGGCTTTAAGAAATAATTTCTTTAGTAAAACTGGTTAAATAATTAATTGATCAGTTGTCTGGCTCTAGACCAGTTAAGCAATTGAGCTTAGTTAATGTATTGCCAAAACATAAAGGAGTTTTGAGGTGGATGATTTCTCTTGATTATGAGAGAGTGTATAATGAGGATAAGAACCACATGGTCCTCCAAATGTCATTGGAGTGCAACTTCCAGCATTCTCCATTATTGCCTACACCAGTAAGAGCTGATTGGAGGGGTAGTCTAGGAACAACAGGAGGGATTCACACTTCCTACTCCTATGTGTGTATTCATGTCTTCATGCCACAAATTATTTTATTTATTATTTAAAATATTTTACTCTACCTTTCTCCTTAAAAAAGACTTACACAGGGTGCCTTACATGATGAAAATATAATGTTTAAAGCTAAAAATAGTAAGTATATACATATTCAAAAGGAGCAAACAAATACCACAATAAAAAACAGTGAACAAAAACCAAAAAGGCATTCAAAGCAGTAAAGCAATGACATAGACAAAACACTGCCAATTTTGGTAGTTATACTTAAAGCTGTAGGGAACAATACTAGGTCACATACTCTACCTCTCTAAGATCCCAGGTTCCATTTAACAGCCTCATTAAATGAGATACCAGCTTTGTATTTAGAAGCAATGCACCTTTAAGAGGAAATCACTGTTCAATGGCATCTTGCCTCAGTCTGCATTTGACAAATCAGCTTACTTAACTTCTCCCAACTTTTGAGCTGGGATATAAACAGGCTTTGTTTTCAGGTACAAGATTTGACAGCCTGGAGGGTTAATGTAGTAAGAGGAGGAAATATGCATTTTCCTGAAGACATGATGTGACCTGACCTTAAGCCTTCAGATCCTGAATCCCCAATATCAGAAGGGCTGGAAAAAGTTTCCCCTGCCTGAGATTTTGGGCAGCTACAGTGTTTGACTCTTTTGGCACCTTATTTCTAATTCCTCACTCATGTAATTGGGGATGGCATATTCCAAATTCTTAAAGCAGTAATTTTCCTTTTCTGTTCAGTAATAACCAGTATGCATAAAGCTGAAGAAGATGTTTTTTTACAATAGGACCGAATAGCATGCATGGTTCATCTATGCATTTAACACCTGTATATGTATTCCTAAGTGATTCTGAGCTTTTGAGATCATATGGGCTACACCTTTGAATCAATTGGCTAACATTTCTCCAACATTAACATGTTCCAGTGCTTGACTGAGGGTGGCAGGAGAAGATAATTATAATGAAAAAAATTACTAGACAAGCGCATCAAGACAACAGGCAGGAACCTAGCAGTATTGATAGGGAAATCCAGAAAGCAGCAGTAAACTCACCAATCTCTGTGCAGAAATAGATTTTCCGATGTGGATAGATTCCGTAATCAATGCCAAATGTTCTTTAGCAAATAGCATCCAACTTTGTACAACTTAACATCCCTGCCCTGTGTGTAGTTTACACACCGTTTAAGGTGTGATCTGTGCCAAGAGATCTAACAGTGCCAGACACTTTGGGTGCGAGCAACATAAGGGTAGTGAAAATGTTCTCTCTCTCTCTCTCTCTCTGTCTCTTTCCCCCCATCCCCTATCTTCATTCTCAGGGTGCTGGACAATCTAAAGAACAGGCAGAATAGGGAGCAAGAGGTGGGAGACTGCCTATTTTACCTCAGTTGGCCCTAGATGCCCAAGTAACTTGTCTAGCCTTAGACATTACATCCCACAGCTTGGAAAGTTACATTTAAGAATAATAAATATAGTGATACACTGTGGTGATAACTAAACAGTCATTAATAATTCTAGGCTTCATAGTCCAAAGTGGCTAGGAAGCAGAAGAATAAAGTGAAGCATAATAATAATAAAAAAAAGCAAAAATTTGCTGCATTTTAAAGACTAGCAAATTTATTTCAGTGTGAGCTTTCATGGGGTTCCGATCAGCTTCCTTAGACACATGGAACATAGCAATTAGGCTGCAGGTTTATATACATGGTGGGAGGGTAAGGCTAACTGAGATGGAAACAAGGTGGTGACAGTTAACATTGATAATTTCAACCTCCTTAAGTTGAAACGTATCACTACTCATCCAAGCAGCTTCTTCATGAAGACCACCTAGGTGACTGAGAATCTTCACAGATATATCTAAAGTGATAGTAGCATTATTAACACCATTGATTAACATTCAGATTGTATTACATAGACTTCCTGTTATTAGATGGGAGCAATCATATTGTCAGTTGATGCCAACAGCAGGCTGCTATCTTCAAATTGAGATTGAACTGTTTTCAGAAGTTATGCTGAGATTGAGTTATGTCCATGAAAACAACATTTTTGGCTTTAGCTATGGTATATACATAACAATGGATAAAACCAGTGTATTTATACATATGGTGGCCAGAATCCTCTAGGCATAAGTTACACCATGGAATTCCCATTATGTCATCAGCTGCAGCCATGGCACAGCTGTTTGAGGGAATTAAAAGCCCCCTACCCACCCCTGCCAGATTCCAAGAATCCCTCAGGATTTCCTTAATTCTAGAAAGCCTTTGAGACCCATGGAATGGGCAGAAAATGATTTAAAGCAGGAAAATTGCCTGCAGCAGGACTAGCACTGCTTATGGTGATTTTCCAGTTTTAGATTATTCACTGTCCCATTTTGAGACTTCAGAGTCTTCCTAGGATGAAGGGGATGCCTAGAGATCACTGAAACCTGATGAGAGGATAGGAACATTTCAATAGCCATGACATGGCTGTTGCTGATGATGTAACTGGAATTCCACAGAACACTAACAGGATTCTGGCCAGTGTGGGCTAAAAATCCCTGGTTTTTAATCATCTTGCTATACTTTGAAATTTGTGAGTGTAACCTAGTTCAACACACTCTCCCTCAAATCTACCTTTGTAGTCCCCCCCCCCCATGTTACTCTAAGTGTACTAGGAAGTCATAGTGTTCTGAAACTGGCTTTTGTGCGTTGATGTTTGGTGTCAGCGTTGTGTCCATTTATTCCTTTGTGTAGAGATTGCTTCATTTGCCATATGTAGAACACAGAGGGCCACTGCTGACAAAGGATGACACAGAGCACTTAAAAAAGTGAACAAGCATGCCCCTCTGTTGTGGGTGGCATTGTTGAAGTCCACAATGATGCTTCCAGAGAAGTTATGGTTACACAGCTGGCATCTAGAACTGTAGTAAGGTTCTAATTCTGACTCTGCATTCATCTTGTGCGGCCTTCTGGGGGTCAACAGTAGTTTAAGATGAGGGGAGATGTCTGTAAGTGAACATAGGCTGTCATGGTTTAGGTTATTAAGGCTAAATTTTGATTTGTGAATGGGATTTGTAGTCATGGAATTGTGTAGAAGGAATCCATACTGGTCTGTGTGAGCATGACTGGATGCTTCGAGAAGCTGTTTCTCTTACAGCTAGCTGGAATTTTCCATGAAGATGACTTGGCCAGAGACGATAAGGGTCAAGACACAACATCAGGACGATGGTCAACAACACCTGCACATCCCGTGGGAAATTGAGGTGGAGTGTGAAGAGACAGCCCTTTACACTGATTGGTTAACATCGCAGAAGAGTGGAGAAGAAGGGTGGTCCCAGCATGAAAGAAAATGGAGAATGTAGTAAGAGAGAGGATTTGATTTTTAACTTGATTTAACTTGGTTTTGGAGACTGATTTTAGGATAGATGTTTGAGTTCCGATTGCTAGTTTTTACTGTTATGCTAGGATGTAGTGCAGAGTGAGGATAAAGAAAGGGGGGCTATGCCTAGCCTACCTTTTAAGCTATTTTTAGAGTTTATTTTATTTTTGTAGCTGGAATTTGCTAAAGTTCTAACTGCTCTGATTTATGGAACGCTATGCTTTTGCAACAAACTGAATATCTCTAAATACTTAAATTTTTTAATAAAACAATAATTCTTAAAATCCAACGTTAAATTTTTAAATAAAACAATATTTCTTAAAATCCAACGTTTGGTTTCTTGAGCAGCAAACCTGCAAGATTATTTGCTAGGCCACAGATATTCTAATTGAGTCCATTAATAGCCTGAGTTTTGTTCGTCTTGGCAGATTCCAAAACTCATGATTTCTATCTTTGTTTTTCCTCAGTTAATTGCTAATTAGAATGGACTTGGGAAAAGGTAAATAAAACAATATTTCTTAAAATCCAACGTTTGGTTTCTTGAGCAGCAAACCTGCAAGATTATTTGCTAGGCCACAGATATTCTAATTGAGTCCATTAATAGCCTGAGTTTTGTTCGTCTTGGCAGATTCCAAAACTCATGATTTCTATCTTTGTTTTTCCTCAGTTAATTGCTAATTAGAATGGACTTGGGAAAAGGGTAAGTGGTACTGCTTGGCTGGGTACCCGTACTCAGCTCAGCTGTTTTAGGAGTACACTTATGCCTGGAACCTCTCTGTTCAAGCCTCAGGTGTTCTTTTAGAAGACCCTGGGTGCTCACATAGGCCAGCTACTCAGGATCTTGGAGAGGGAAGTCCAGAATGGGCTGGAGATAACTAACAATACATGAGAAGGGTCTCATTTGGGAGCTGAAGGTGGCTACTACCAATGACCTCACATTTGCTGTTTCGTAGTATATTGTGTCTGAGGAGCTGTCTTGCCATGTCAATTTCTAATTTTCATTTTATGGAGAAAGTAATGTAATATAACAAAAGACTGCTATAAATCCTTGGGTTTTGAGTTTCTGTCTTGTGGATCCAAGCAGATATTATATATTGAGTGTTTGGCTGTATATAATAGATTTTGTGGTATGTCCATGGTAGGAAGACACATGTAAGAATGAATACCAGTCAGTGGGTTTTAATGTAACATGATGCTTAGATGTCCACTTTGTAGCTCCACTGCAGTGTCCACATGTTGTTGTTGTTTAGTCATTAAGTCATGTCCGACTCTTTGTGAACCCATGGACCAGAGCACGCCAGGCCCTCCTGTCTTCCACTGCCTCCCAGAGTTG